GTACTTCAAACGAAACAGTCATCCATCATGCGCCCAGTGGTCCAGTACTTTCTATTTCAGAAACATGCCCGGTAATGGAGTCAAACTCCATCAACCCCGAAACAGCATGTGCAGACAGTAACATATCCAGCTCACGAGAAGATCTCATTGTTTTGCCAGAAAATGTGTTTCACGCATCAACTAATAATCAAGAACCTGGCACAGTTTTGTCGGACGCGGATTACCATAATCATCCATTATCTACTAATGATGCTCCTTATAAATTTGACAACAATATCTCAGAAGATTTGAACTCGGATGATTTCGAATTGAGTGGTGTTTATCCTCATTATCTGGTCGATTTTACTGGATTCCCTGTGCAATGTGTTTTAAATACAATCAAATTAATTGTAATTTGGGTTTATGAAGACCCAACATTATTTCGAGGGGGAGGATAGACGCGAGAAAAATTTAAAATCCGGACATCAACTCCGGATCTCCAAAAAAAGGGGAGGTGTTGGGATATTCAGGAAAATATCCCAAAAATTATCCTGTTAAGCCTAATGCTATCCTTGGACATGAAATGGTATCATCTTATTGGTTAATATTTATTTAACGTGTCATTTTCCTACTGGCCATTGTTGTACAATGTTATCTTCTATTTTATGGTACGTTGTGGACTGCTTGACTGGTATATAAACAAAGCATGTTTGAAATATAATGATTCATATATCCGAGGCTGTGACTTGCGTTCTGGACTCAATTGGCTGGGCTATACAGGGAAGCGAGACCAATCAGAACCCTAGGTCGTTCTACGTGTTTGCGCGTCTTTGGTCCGATCAATAATTCGCAACCCTTAATCAGCATTTTATTTTTCACGTTATAACAATTGGCGACGGGGTGAAGAAAAGATACAATCCAAAGTCATTCTGTAATTGGACGAAATCCAGTCTAATTATCCAACCAATCAGCATCCAGATTGTCGTCAGTGTCCTTCAACGACATTGGTCATTAGTCATACAGTAATTTTCATCACAGGTGCTGATTCGAAAAAAATGACTCTTCCTTCCGATCGATTACAGCTGCTCTATGAACGACATTTGGAGTTATTAGTCAAATTCCGTACGCAGCTGCTAAATCACTCATGCTATGAAGACGCGACGGAAGTGGATGGATTGATATCTGAAATACACAATGAGCTGGAAAACGACAGCAGCCTCCATGAATCCTCGATGAACTGTACTTCAAACGAAACAGTCATCCATCATGCGCCCAGTGGTCCAGTACTTTCTATTTCAGAAACATGCCCGGTAATGGAGTCAAACTCCATCAACCCCGAAACAGCATGTGCAGACAGTAACATATCCAGCTCACGAGAAGATCTCATTGTTTTGCCAGAAAATGTGTTTCACGCATCAACTAATAATCAAGAACCTGGCACAGTTTTGTCGGACGCGGATTACCATAATCATCCATTATCTACTAATGATGCTCCTTATAAATTTGACAACAATATCTCAGAAGATTTGAACTCGGATGATTTCGAATTGAGTGGTGTTTATCCTCATTATCTGGTCGATTTTACTGGATTCCCTGTGCAATGTGTTTTAAATACAATCAAATTAATTGTAATTTGGGTTTATGAAGACCCAACATTATTTCGAGGGGGAGGATAGACGCGAGAAAAATTTAAAATCCGGACATCAACTCCGGATCTCCAAAAAAAGGGGAGGTGTTGGGATATTCAGGAAAATATCCCAAAAATTATCCTGTTAAGCCTAATGCTATCCTTGGACATGAAATGGTATCATCTTATTGGTTAATATTTATTTAACGTGTCATTTTCCTACTGGCCATTGTTGTACAATGTTATCTTCTATTTTATGGTACGTTGTGGACTGCTTGACTGGTATATAAACAAAGCATGTTTGAAATATAATGATTCATATATCCGAGGCTGTGACTTGCGTTCTGGACTCAATTGGCTGGGCTATACAGGGAAGCGAGACCAATCAGAACCCTAGGTCGTTCTACGTGTTTGCGCGTCTTTGGTCCGATCAATAATTCGCAACCCTTAATCAGCATTTTATTTTTCACGTTATAACAATTGGCGACGGGGTGAAGAAAAGATACAATCCAAAGTCATTCTGTAATTGGACGAAATCCAGTCTAATTATCCAACCAATCAGCATCCAGATTGTCGTCAGTGTCCTTCAACGACATTGGTCATTAGTCATACAGTAATTTTCATCACAGGTGCTGATTCGAAAAAAATGACTCTTCCTTCCGATCGATTACAGCTGCTCTATGAACGACATTTGGAGTTATTAGTCAAATTCCGTACGCAGCTGCTAAATCACTCATGCTATGAAGACGCGACGGAAGTGGATGGATTGATATCTGAAATACACAATGAGCTGGAAAACGACAGCAGCCTCCATGAATCCTCGATGAACTGTACTTCAAACGAAACAGTCATCCATCATGCGCCCAGTGGTCCAGTACTTTCTATTTCAGAAACATGCCCGGTAATGGAGTCAAACTCCATCAACCCCGAAACAGCATGTGCAGACAGTAACATATCCAGCTCACGAGAAGATCTCATTGTTTTGCCAGAAAATGTGTTTCACGCATCAACTAATAATCAAGAACCTGGCACAGTTTTGTCGGACGCGGATTACCATAATCATCCATTATCTACTAATGATGCTCCTTATAAATTTGACAACAATATCTCAGAAGATTTGAACTCGGATGATTTCGAATTGAGTGGTGTTTATCCTCATTATCTGGTCGATTTTACTGGATTCCCTGTGCAATGTGTTTTAAATACAATCAAATTAATTGTAATTTGGGTTTATGAAGACCCAACATTATTTCGAGGGGGAGGATAGACGCGAGAAAAATTTAAAATCCGGACATCAACTCCGGATCTCCAAAAAAAGGGGAGGTGTTGGGATATTCAGGAAAATATCCCAAAAATTATCCTGTTAAGCCTAATGCTATCCTTGGACATGAAATGGTATCATCTTATTGGCTAATATTTATTTAACGTGTCATTTTCCTACTGGCCATTGTTGTACAATGTTATCTTCTATTTTATGGTACGTTGTGGACTGCTTGACTGGTATATAAACAAAGCATGTTTGAAATATAATGATTCATATATCCGAGGCTGTGACTTGCGTTCTGGACTCAATTGGCTGGGCTATACAGGGAAGCGAGACCAATCAGAACCCTAGGTCGTTCTACGTGTTTGCGCGTCTTTGGTCCGATCAATAATTCGCAACCCTTAATCAGGCATTTATTTTTCACGTTATAACAATTGGCGACGGGGTGAAGAAAAGATACAATCCAAAGTCATTCTGTAATTGGACGAAATCCAGTCTAATTATCCAACCAATCAGCATCCAGATTGTCGTCAGTGTCCTTCAACGACATTGGTCATTAGTCATACAGTAATTTTCATCACAGGTGCTGATTCGAAAAAAATGACTCTTCCTTCCGATCGATTACAGCTGCTCTATGAACGACATTTGGAGTTATTAGTCAAATTCCGTACGCAGCTGCTAAATCACTCATGCTATGAAGACGCGACGGAAGTGGATGGATTGATATCTGAAATACACAGTGAGCTGGAAAACGACAGCAGCCTCCATGAATCCTCGATGAACTGTACTTCAAACGAAACAGTCATCCATCATGCGCCCAGTGGTCCAGTACTTTCTATTTCAGAAACATGCCCGGTAATGGAGTCAAACTCCATCAACCCCGAAACAGCATGTGCAGACAGTAACATATCCAGCTCACGAGAAGATCTCATTGTTTTGCCAGAAAATGTGTTTCACGCATCAACTAATAATCAAGAACCTGGCACAGTTTTGTCGGACGCGGATTACCATAATCATCCATTATCTACTAATGATGCTCCTTATAAATTTGACAACAATATCTCAGAAGATTTGAACTCGGATGATTTCGAATTGAGTGGTGTTTATCCTCATTATCTGGTCGATTTTACTGGATTCCCTGTGCAATGTGTTTTAAATACAATCAAATTAATTGTAATTTGGGTTTATGAAGACCCAACATTATTTCGAGGGGGAGGATAGACGCGAGAAAAATTTAAAATCCGGACATCAACTCCGGATCTCCAAAAAAAGGGGAGGTGTTGGGATATTCAGGAAAATATCCCAGAAATTATCCTGTTAAGCCTAATGCTATCCTTGGACATGAAATGGTATCATCTTATTGGTTAATATTTATTTAACGTGTCATTTTCCTACTGGCCATTGTTGTACAATGTTATCTTCTATTTTATGGTACGTTGTGGACTGCTTGACTGGTATATAAACAAAGCATGTTTGAAATATAATGATTCATATATCCGAGGCTGTGACTTGCGTTCTGGACTCAATTGGCTGGGCTATACAGGGAAGCGAGACCAATCAGAACCCTAGGTCGTTCTACGTGTTTGCGCGTCTTTGGTCCGATCAATAATTCGCAACCCTTAATCAGCAGCATTCACATTTTTCACGTTATAACAATTGGCGACGGGGTGAAGAAAAGATACAATCCAAAGTCATTCTGTAATTGGACGAAATCCAGTCTAATTATCCAACCAATCAGCATCCAGATTGTCGTCAGTGTCCTTCAACGACATTGGTCATTAGTCATACAGTAATTTTCATCACAGGTGCTGATTCGAAAAAAATGACTCTTCCTTCCGATCGATTACAGCTGCTCTATGAACGACATTTGGAGTTATTAGTCAAATTCCGTACGCAGCTGCTAAATCACTCATGCTATGAAGACGCGACGGGAGTGGATGGATTGATATCTGAAATACACAGTGAGCTGGAAAATGACAGCAGCCTCCATGAATCCTCGATGAACTGTACTTCAAACGAAACAGTCATCCATCATGCGCCCAGTGGTCCAGTACTTTCTATTTCAGAAACATGCCCGGTAATGGAGTCAAACTCCATCAACCCCGAAACAGCATGTGCAGACAGTAACATATCCAGCTCACGAGAAGATCTCATTGTTTTGCCAGAAAATGTGTTTCACGCATCAACTAATAATCAAGAACCTGGCACAGTTTTGTTGGACGCGGATTACCATAATCATCCATTATCTACTAATGATGCTCCTTATAAATTTGACAACAATATCTCAGAAGATTTGAACTCGGATGATTTCGAATTGAGTGGTGTTTATCCTCATTATCTGATCGATTTTACTGGATTCCCTGTGCAATGTGTTTTAAATACAATCAAATTAATTGTAATTTGGGTTTATGAAGACCCAACATTATTTCGAGGGGGAGGATAGACGCGAGAAAAATTTAAAATCCGGACATCAACTCCGGATCTCCAAAAAAAGGGGAGGTGTTGGAATATTCAGGAAAATATCCCAGAAATTATCCTGTTAAGCCTAATGCTATCCTTGGACATGAAATAGTATCATCTTATTGGCCAATATTTATTTAACGTGTTATTTTCCTGTTGGCCAATATTGTACAATGTTATTTCTATTTTGTGGTACGTTGTGGACTGCTTGACTGGTATATAAACAAAGCATGCTTGAAATATAATGATTCATATATCCGAGGCTGTGACTTGCGTTCTGGACTCAATTGGCTGGGCTATACAGGGAAGCGAGACCAATCAGAACCCTAGGTCGTTCTACGTGTTTGCGCGTCTTTGGTCCGATCAATAATTCGCTACCCTTAACCAGGAGCATTCATTTTTCACGTTATAACAATTGGCGACGGGGTGAAGAAAAGATACAATCCAAAGTCATTCTGTAATTGGACGAAATCCAGTCTAATTATCCAACCAATCAGCATCCAGATTGTCGTCAGTGTCCTTCAACGACATTGGTCATTAGTCATACAGTAATTTTCATCACAGGTGCTGATTCGAAAAAAATGACTCTTCCTTCCGATCGATTACAGCTGCTCTATGAACGACATTTGGAGTTATTAGTCAAATTTCGTACGCAGCTGCTAAATCACTCATGCTATGAAGACGCGACGGGAGTGGATGGATTGATATCTGAAATACACAGTGAGCTGGAAAATGACAGCAGCCTCCATGAATCCTCGATGAACTGTACTTCAAACGAAACAGTCATCCATCATGCGCCCAGTGGTCCAGTACTTTCTATTTCAGAAACATGCCCGGTAATGGAGTCAAACTCCATCAACCCCGAAACAGCATGTGCAGACAGTAACATATCCAGCTCACGAGAAGATCTCATTGTTTTGCCAGAAAATGTGTTTCACGCATCAACTAATAATCAAGAACCTGGCACAGTTTTGTCGGACGCGGATTACCATAATCATCCATTATCTACTAATGATGCTCCTTATAAATTTGACAACAATATCTCAGAAGATTTGAACTCGGATGATTTCGAATTGAGTGGTGTTTATCCTCATTATCTGATCGATTTTACTGGATTCCCTGTGCAATGTGTTTTAAATACAATCAAATTAATTGTAATTTGGGTTTATGAAGACCCAACATTATTTCGAGGGGGAGGATAGACGCGAGAAAAATTTAAAATCCGGACATCAACTCCGGATCTCCAAAAAAAGGGGAGGTGTTGGAATATTCAGGAAAATATCCCAGAAATTATCCTGTTAAGCCTAATGCTATCCTTGGACATGAAATGGTATCATCTTATTGGTTAATATTTATTTAACGTGTCATTTTCCTACTGGCCATTGTTGTACAATGTTATCTTCTATTTTGTGGTACGTTGTGGACTGCTTGACTGGCATATAAACAAAGCATGCTTGAAATATAATGATTCATATATCCGAGGCTGTGACTTGCGTTCTGGACTCAATTGGCTGGGCTATACAGGGAAGCGAGACCAATCAGAACCCTAGGTTGTTCTACGTGTTTGCGCGTCTTTGGTCCGATCAATAATTCGCTACCCTTAACCAGGAGCATTCATTTTTCACGTTATAACAATTGGCGACGGGGTGAAGAAAAGATACAATCCAAAGTCATTCTGTAATTGGACGAAATCCAGTCTAATTATCCAACCAATCAGCATCCAGATTGTCGTCAGTGTCCTTCAACGACATTGGTCATTAGTCATACAGTAATTTTCATCACAGGTGCTGATTCGAAAAAAATGACTCTTCCTTCCGATCGATTACAGCTGCTCTATGAACGACATTTGGAGTTATTAGTCAAATTTCGTACGCAGCTGCTAAATCACTCATGCTATGAAGACGCGACGGGAGTGGATGGATTGATATCTGAAATACACAGTGAGCTGGAAAATGACAGCAGCCTCCATGAATCCTCGATGAACTGTACTTCAAACGAAACAGTCATCCATCATGCGCCCAGTGGTCCAGTACTTTCTATTTCAGAAACATGCCCGGTAATGGAGTCAAACTCCATCAACCCCGAAACAGCATGTGCAGACAGTAACATATCCAGCTCACGAGAAGATCTCATTGTTTTGCCAGAAAATGTGTTTCACGCATCAACTAATAATCAAGAACCTGGCACAGTTTTGTTGGACGCGGATTACCATAATCATCCATTATCTACTAATGATGCTCCTTATAAATTTGACAACAATATCTCAGAAGATTTGAACTCGGATGATTTCGAATTGAGTGGTGTTTATCCTCATTATCTGATCGATTTTACTGGATTCCCTGTGCAATGTGTTTTAAATACAATCAAATTAATTGTAATTTGGGTTTATGAAGACCCAACATTATTTCGAGGGGGAGGATAGACGCGAGAAAAATTTAAAATCCGGACATCAACTCCGGATCTCCAAAAAAAGGGGAGGTGTTGGAATATTCAGGAAAATATCCCAGAAATTATCCTGTTAAGCCTAATGCTATCCTTGGACATGAAATAGTATCATCTTATTGGCCAATATTTATTTAACGTGTTATTTTCCTGTTGGCCAATATTGTACAATGTTATTTCTATTTTGTGGTACGTTGTGGACTGCTTGACTGGTATATAAACAAAGCATGCTTGAAATATAATGATTCATATATCCGAGGCTGTGACTTGCGTTCTGGACTCAATTGGCTGGGCTATACAGGGAAGCGAGACCAATCAGAACCCTAGGTTGTTCTACGTGTTTGCGCGTCTTTGGTCCGATCAATAATTCGCTACCCTTAACCAGGAGCATTCATTTTTCACGTTATAACAATTGGCGACGGGGTGAAGAAAAGATACAATCCAAAGTCATTCTGTAATTGGACGAAATCCAGTCTAATTATCCAACCAATCAGCATCCAGATTGTCGTCAGTGTCCTTCAACGACATTGGTCATTAGTCATACAGTAATTTTCATCACAGGTGCTGATTCGAAAAAAATGACTCTTCCTTCCGATCGATTACAGCTGCTCTATGAACGACATTTGGAGTTATTAGTCAAATTTCGTACGCAGCTGCTAAATCACTCATGCTATGAAGACGCGACGGGAGTGGATGGATTGATATCTGAAATACACAGTGAGCTGGAAAATGACAGCAGCCTCCATGAATCCTCGATGAACTGTACTTCAAACGAAACAGTCATCCATCATGCGCCCAGTGGTCCAGTACTTTCTATTTCAGAAACATGCCCGGTAATGGAGTCAAACTCCATCAACCCCGAAACAGCATGTGCAGACAGTAACATATCCAGCTCACGAGAAGATCTCATTGTTTTGCCAGAAAATGTGTTTCACGCATCAACTAATAATCAAGAACCTGGCACAGTTTTGTTGGACGCGGATTACCATAATCATCCATTATCTACTAATGATGCTCCTTATAAATTTGACAACAATATCTCAGAAGATTTGAACTCGGATGATTTCGAATTGAGTGGTGTTTATCCTCATTATCTGATCGATTTTACTGGATTCCCTGTGCAATGTGTTTTAAATACAATCAAATTAATTGTAATTTGGGTTTATGAAGACCCAACATTATTTCGAGGGGGAGGATAGACGCGAGAAAAATTTAAAATCCGGACATCAACTCCGGATCTCCAAAAAAAGGGGAGGTGTTGGAATATTCAGGAAAATATCCCAGAAATTATCCTGTTAAGCCTAATGCTATCCTTGGACATGAAATAGTATCATCTTATTGGCCAATATTTATTTAACGTGTTATTTTCCTGTTGGCCAATATTGTACAATGTTATTTCTATTTTGTGGTACGTTGTGGACTGCTTGACTGGTATATAAACAAAGCATGTTTGAAATATAATGATTCATATATCCGAGGCTGTGACTTGCGTTCTGGACTCAATTGGCTGGGCTATACAGGGAAGCGAGACCAATCAGAACCCTAGGTTGTTCTACGTGTTTGCGCGTCTTTGGTCCGATCAATAATTCGCTACCCTTAACCAGGAGCATTCATTTTTCACGTTATTACAGAAGGATTTAACACAAGTGTCTATAGCGAATCCCTTCAGATTTGAAATTGTGTCTCGTGAAATAATGCTCTAGTTGTGCAAACCACAACTCAGGATCACTACGATCAAATTCTGGAAGTCGGGATTTCGTAGTCATATCAGTGTCTATCTCCACTGGTGACAAATCCTCCAGATTATGTGTTTCTATTGAGTCTGACATGAGGTATGTGACAAATATAGCAATAAAGTTAGCACAAAAAGTGGTTACTATAACACGAATAACTTAAGATAATACGGAATAAACTAGTTATATACTCAAATTAGTTTACGGATAATCAGGTCTACTTTTACGATTAAGTAAAAAAATGTTAATAACAGAAATGAGGTTAAATTTGTGTTCAAAAAGGGGTCACCAATTTCTTGCCTTAAAGTAACCCTCGTGCTATTGATAGAAGAAACCAGACAAGTAGTGAATAGGTCTTTATTTCGATCTTAGCGCGGTCACAGTGGAGCGTGGGATTATCTGTTCAGACAAACAAAGGCTCTCAACATTCAATATAAGATAATAGGGAATATAACGCTTATACAAAACAAGGAAGTGAATGGATACTTGAACAATACTGTTTTGGCATGTGCTTGGTTGTTTGGGGTCAACTCTTAACCAACCAACCTAAGCTGTTACAAGTACACATTCTAGTCGCGACGGTGTCTGACTGTTTCTCCAACGAATTGCTGACTTCACATATTCGCATAATCGCAAATCCTCAATGAGATTGAAGAACCGAGCTTCAGTTGAGTTTTCACATTCAATATACGTATGTTCCGCGAAACTGACTCTGAGGAGATTGAAGTTCCCTAGAATCAGGACATGAGTGAAACCGAGACGTGTGGAGCGGGATATTCTTTCCAGCACACGACTGTTATAACCGATGTCGGCAGCGGGCTTTCTATATGTGACTCCTAGTAGGCACCTCGACGTAGTAGACAATCTTACAGAGCACCATATGGATTCCTGAAGATTGTTAAACTCGAGGTTGTGAACTTGGTGTACCTCCAAGCAAGATCGTATGTATACGACTAGTCCACCCCCAATTCCTGTTTTTCTGTCGTTATGAAAGAAAGACATTCCAGGTATTGCTAGCTCCTGATCCGAGAACTGAGAAGGTTCAGATATTCTTATCAGATGAACCCTATTAGCATTGCTAAGTTCACGTAGCTCAGCCGTTTTGTTTGGTAAACTCGCAGCGTTCATGTATAAGCAGTTTATGCTTTCAACTTGAAGCGCATGAGCTTCTTCTGTATGAGCCTTACGTGAATGGACAGGTAGTCTACTCATATAAGGTTTGTCGAGTTGGTAGGCCCTGTCCTCTACACGATTTTTATCATCGAGACAGTCCACAGGTGGAATGGTCAGCTCCAAATTGCCTTTGTGCTTGATCGTGGCGTCATGTGGCCTATCCGGGTGTATATGGATTCAAGTTGGCAATCAATGTCTGTTGGCACGAAATGCTTCCAGAATTTTAGCCTCCATAGTGGAGGATGGGAAATATGTCTTTATTAACCGGGGGTCTAGAATCTCTGTCTTTCTTGGCTAGTCTCATCACTTGTTGAGTCAGTATGTTTTTGAGTCTCAAGGATTATCTGATGAATTTCCACTCCCTAATATTAGAGTTTACTTGACTAGGGTCCGTGTTTTCCGGTACACCTTGCACAATTATATTTCTTCTGCGGAAAAACTGATCGCGAGTTTCTTTGGGGATGTTCCGGATGAGATGGCGCTCAGAATACGGTATGTCGGGCAGTATTCTAACGTTCCCATCGGATTTCACTGAATGACTAGCTAGCAGGCCATCCTCTACGTCGGTAGCATTCTTAAGTGTTACACGAAGTAGCCTCGGGTGATTTTGATGCCTAGATTCCTTTCCCCGAGTGAGCCATGTGACCGTTAAAGGCTCTATCGTAGGAAGTTTAAGTTTCTTGTTCAACTCACCCCAGAACATCCTGTCATTTTTGTCCTGCAAACTGAGAGGAAGGTCAGGGTTGTCTTTGAGGTTCATGATTATGAGCGAGTCATCACGAACCGTTATTGTTTTCCCAGGTTTTCAGGTGTGTTCAGGTTCAGCACCTTGTTGTTTGGAGGTCGAAGCACGTCTCTGAATCCTAG